GGGAGTTTGTTTTTTCGAAAATGGGAGTTTGTTCCACGGAAATGGGAGTTTGTTCCACGAAAATGGGAGTTTGTTCCACGAAAATGGGAGTTTGTTTTACGAAAATTGGAGTTTGTTTTACGAAAATGGGAGGGTTTTTTAAAAACACGTCACTAGCTTCAGTGTGGCATGCTGACGCAGACGCATTCTCGGCTGTCGCTTGTATCCGCCGATGTCTACGTTCTCAGGCTAGCTACAGTGCTGTTCAAGTGAAAGAAGGTTTGGATTTTTACGCTTACAATGGTCCTTTTATTGCTCCTGGCTCTTAATATACATCTTGCCGAAGGTGTTTTACCTCACTATGTTCCTACGCTACGTGTCAATGTTGGACTACGATCCCGTATCCTTAATTAAAACAATCAATGTCAGTTATTCCATTTGGTCATGTAAGCCATTGATGTTTAGTCTTGTTTCTTTATGCGAGTAGTGTTTTCCTAATCGTGATTTGAACAATCGGTCAGATTCTTCCTTGACAAAATCAGGAAATGATCTCATTGAGGACTACTTTAGCCTTGGATACACCTACCCAGAAATAGTGGCTTTTCTATGTCTTTCACATGGAATAGTGATCAGGTCAGTTATATTTTATTTGTATGCTTTGACAGAGATTCTCTGTGCGAGAGGAACATAATTTTCTAGGCAATTCTCTCGCCGTTTAAGCGTAGGGCACGATAAACACAGTTAGCGGGCTGTTGCGTGACAAACGTGCATAGGCTTATTGTCGCTGAAATTGACAATACAACTGTTGCCAGTATCTCAGGCGAAATGTCTACAGTCAAACCCTAAAGTAACCTGCGATTTTTTCCCCTTCTCCCTTTCCCCTTCTCGCTTTCCCAAAAAAGAACGCCTGATCGGAGGTTAACCTAAAGAGAAGAAAAAAGAATTCGGCAATATATCATTCTAGTGGTCGGTCATGATCAGCAAATTACTAGAATAATTTTTTTTTGGTGGCTCGCAGCCTTCGTCAAATAAAGCGAATAATCCGCCAAAGGGGATTACAAAGACGACGACAAAGCAGTGATATTCTGGAAGTCGTGAATGCAGTAGAGGTGAGTAGCACATTTATCAGTCTAGCCATTGAGATCAACTTTGAAATGAAGGCTCACTACGATTGGAACGTCTCCATAATTTTTATTACGCTAAATTGTTTTCATCTCCAACAGGACGAACTAACCGGTAGTGGTAGTTGTGTGGGTTATAGGCAAATGCATCAAAGATTACGGGATGATCACAGACTCGTTGTAAGCAGGTACCGAAACAACCTTTTTACTACTTTCAAATCCCCAACCCTAACATCCCCCGTCCATTATACATCCATATGTAGTTGTCGGATCACATCATTGTTGACTGAGTTGGGAAGGGGTAGAAAAAAACTGAACTAGTCGCCTCTAAGTACCTTTTGTGACGATAGGTTTTTCCTGCAAACACTGTAAATTTCTGACTGAACGGACACTTGCACTGACAACTGGGGGATTCTAACGCTGGAGAGCAGGGCTGCAACCCCAAGATACCCACCACCCTCATTGAAAAATGCTGGATCCACTCATGTGTTTAATTTAGGGAAACCACAAGAATTATTCTAGGTGTCCTAGACCCTAATGGAGTGTCAAATAGAAGGAAAGGAAGATTACAGAGGAGGAGATACTTTTGTAAGGTGGGCGGATAAAATCATCCTGTCAGTCATTTTACCGTTTCTCCAGGAGAAATTATATCAGTAATAACTCAGTGATCAGGCTTTTTCAGCGGTGACTGAATGAAGGGAAGATCGGTTGCTGTTGTCATTTACATTTACAAGTCACATACAAGTCATAAAGCAAGCTAGGAAAAGCAACCTGTTTTTTACAAAAGTGGTTAGATGTTCTTAACCCGTGATACAAAAACTATTCGATTTAGTTTCGTCTAATAAGACTGTCCTGTTAAATAGTTAAATATATGCGCGGCATAGAAAACCATAGAGGGAAAAGAAAACACAATGGCGTAATTGAGTTGAATCATTCTCTGTACTTCTTAGTATCGTTGTAGATTAAAGGCCAAGCGTTCATCAAGAATTGTAAATTGCATTATGGTTAATAGTATTGTCTGTTTCCTTGAGGCATTGTAGTGCAGCTTTTAAACCAGGCTAATTACATTTCACGTTAGTTTTTGTTAAAATTATGAGAGTAGCAACAGGAAACTCTTGCATAATTATAAGAAGCCATTAGCAATTTTTCCGAGTTAATTATGAGAAAATGTGACTTTCAATTCCATTCTTGGAAGGGGCCAAATTATCTGTGGCACATGGACGGATATGACAAATTAAAGCCTTATGGGTTTTGCATCCACGGTGCTATTGACGGGTAGGTGTTGGTGCTATGAAGTTTAATTTCTGGTTGAAATATATTAAAATATTACCTACAATAAGTTGAGTAACTATCAAGTGCTGTCTGACACCCAATAATTTGCAATGTTGAAGATTTCAATTCTTTTAGAAACATTTTCCTGCATCTTGTATGGAGGTCTTTTATTTACTTTTAAATTCTCTGTATGTTGTTTTAAACCTGATACCATCGTTAGATATTGTACATTTGTACAATTTGGTAATACTTTAATTCACTATTTGTTATTTCTAAGTAGGTAGAAAGAAAAATTAGTCGATTGACTGACTGATTGATTAATTGATTGTTTACCCTAACCCTAAGTTTTGTTTTCGTGAAAGTGATAGCTTAAATTTTGACTTACGGGAGGTTTTATTGGCATTCGCCTACAGCTACTCTCGCCGTATACTTTGGTTGGAAGTTACTTCCACGAACAACGACCCGGCTGTTATTGCGAAGTTCTTCGTTGACTTTGTACGCCAAGTCGGTGGTATGTTCTTTTAATGTATTGTACAAAAACCAGTGAAATGCCAGGTGAGCTTTAGCGCATAAACATGTTATCCTTACATTTGAAGATATCGGTTTTTATGACATTTTTCTTTTGTCCCTTTAACTACACTCGAATCTGTTGGTGTATGAACGAAACATCTTCGGTTCTTATTCGGTTATCTTCGGCAATCCTCGGTAATGTTCGGAGAATGTTCGGAAGTGTTTGCAATATGTTCGGAAACGTTCGTCTGGCCTTCGGAGCAATTTTGGAAAATCTTCGAAAATCTTCGGAAACTCGGCAAGAACGCCCTCATTAGTATGGCTATAAAATAAACAAAATAACAGATGGGCGCTTGCAGATATGAAATTTCTCTTCCCTCGTTCAACTTAATATCTCACGAGTGCTCGTGAGACATCGAGTTGAACACTCCAAGAGAAATTCCATATCTACGAGCATCCATGTATTACTCTCTGTGTTCACGTTAAATCATATCAAACCAGCATACAACGTGATACATACTATCTACAATTCTGGCATTGAAAACTGTCCTTGGTGTTTTTAGGGACTCCTCGCATTGTTAGAGCGGACTGTGGAACCGAGAACGTTGTTGTTGCTGGACTACAAAGGTTTTTTCGTTCTCAGGCAACTGATGACTTTGCAGGCAACAAGAGTTTTCTATATGGAAAGTCGTCGGCAAACCAGGTAGTTGAGTATTTCTTGTACACATTCCGTTCAAGGGGTATTATTAGAACGGAGATATAAATTGAGTACGTGCCCTTTTTATCCCTTTTTATCGAGCGTAGCGTAGCGAGTTGTAGCAGTTAGTTGGGTGACAAATAATTAACTCGTTCACTCGTCGATCAGTCGCTGGGTTGTAAACTATTTTCTGGTGGTAATTACGTTGGCCAAAAAGGCGAGAGAAGCGCCATTTGCCACTATAAAACAAAATAGTTTCCAAAGCCATCAACCGATCTTTCGTGTTTGGAGTCTAACAAATGCTCCCGCATTAAATGAACCTTTGCCAAAAATGATGTGTGAGCTCGAGGGTTACACGCTCCAGAATTGTTTTTCTTACCAAGATTATTTCAAATTTCCGTATCGTCTCATTACTTTTAGGGCTCATACCCATATGAACGCAAACCATTAGTAGGTAGGTCAGTGCCTGGGCTATGTCCACAACCCAGCCTTGACGGAGCTCCCCTGGGTTTAGAGCAGCTGGCTGGTTAGGCCTGGGCTCGCAGGACAAGTCGATCTTCGCCCGGGCCCAGGCGAAAACCTGGCGGGCCTTTTTTTGGTGAATCGTTCAGATATATATTACATGAAACATTTTCCTTTTCAACTATAACGAGTTGGCTTAAAAACCTTATGAGGTTTTCTTGTATATATCAGAGAATAGAAGCTTGGTGGTCTTTTCTGAGGAAGTCAAATTCAAGCTGGTGGATAAACTATTTCAAGGTTTGATTAGTGTTGTCGCAGGATGCCCAGTTTTTTTCCTTATCAATTTTATGTTCATGAGATTGAGCTATATCTAAGCTGAGGTTTTCTTCACTGCCATTCTCTTAGGATCTGCAAGATGCTGGTATTTTCATGAATGATGACCCGCTGCAAGTGTGAGTACTACCGTGGTCATTTATTTTTGACTGGTATATTAAGATTAAAGATTTGGAATTAAAATATAGAAAGTTGTCTTGACCTTATCCATGTGTATTCTGCATTTGGCAGTAGCTTGATTTGGCGGGCAGGAATTGTGGTTGATAATCGGGGTGTAGTCTGACTGGCTGGATTTTCATTTTTATTGATTAAATCAAACGAGTGGTTCCGAACGGAAAGTGTCAAGGCAGCAAGCTTCACTAAAGGCAGCAAATAAGGCGTAATATGCATGTTGTTGTCGTTTGTTAAGAACGCAAAAGTTTCTGTAAGAACGCTAATTTAATAAGCAATGCATCCGGTTGAACAAGCGATTTTTCCATACTGTAGTCGAGGAAGTCCATTTTATACTTGTCCACAGTGTCCCGTAGCGTGTTTTATTTTTTTTAATATACTCATGCATTGATTCAAACCTTCCTACAACTCGAAGGATGAGATCTTTGCATCTAAGCTGTTATCCTTACCATCAGTGGAGTCTTCTTGTGCTTATTCCTTACCATTGAGACCCGCTCTATACAGGTGTGTTCTGGTTCTAAGTACAGAACTTTGCCATCTAGAAGAAAACCACATCAATAAATACCAAAAAAAACCTAGGGAGTGGAAAACAGGCAATTGCTAAGTATTTTCAAAGGGCCACTTGTCTCACCTACCCTGTGAGGGAGTTCATATGCTCTCCCCACCCCTACACGAAATTAATAACTTTCTGTTGCAGTCTTTTGCCATGTTGTCGTGTTGTGTCCAACTGGCAAAACATTCGA